CCAAAATAGAAGATGACACGATCCAGGAAGAGAAAAGTTAGGCGTCACCGCCGTACACTCACGCCAAAGATAACAATCTGCAACAAAGGCGCATTCACCGTTAATTCCAATATGGCCCCGGGCCAATCAACTCAACATCGATCCTAATATCCGCACCGACGATCCGCATGCTAACTCCCACCATTGCGATCGTCACCCCGCTGTCGTAAACCCGACATGGTTCACCCAGATCCCACATTGCGTCGTGGCGATCCAGCGCGCAACCGGCCAGTCTATCGTCAGCCCGACAGGACTTTCCGACTCGCTTCAAACACTCTGCCTAGCCACTGCTTTTCGAAAGCTGGCTTGAGAGTCGAGAACGTAAGAGAGTTTTGCGGACGCGATTGCGGGTTTTATAGTTGCGACAGGGGAGATAGAAGGGGGAGAAGGCGACAAGAATGCTGAGGTGTATGAGGAGAAGGAGGAGAAGACTTTGAGAAGAGTGCTCTACGAGCGCATGCTGATCCTTCGGAACTCAAGGTTCAACCGATCAGATTTGTCGCACGATAGGAATGTCCTATCGATCCACGCACCTGATTGGCGAGCGGGAGTTATCGGGGGATCGACCGGGCGTCGTATGCCAAACGTAGAGGGTAGGAAGAGAAAAGGCGCGAGAGGTGGCGCAAGACGGGTCCAAGATTGAGATGATCAAGAAGGGGAAATGGGCGCGCGAAAGCAAGTCGGGAGAGAGAGAGAGGGAGAAGGAAAAACAGTTACGGGGAGAGAGAAAAAGGAGGGAGAAGGGAAGGGAGGCGCGGGAGGGAGCGATGCGGGGGACAGAGAGGAGGAAGCTTTTGCATGCACGGCGCCGTCAACAAAAAAAAGAAAAAGGCACCGAAACAGTTACAACTTGCTTCTATCCTAATTCAAAATTGAAATCACCATATCCGCGCGCGAAAAAACGACGCGGGAAAATAAAATCCTACGCGTATTTGTATTCACGCAAAATTCCGAGAGTTTTCCCCGACTCGCCCAAGAACATCCATTCACCCAAAAAGGACACGTCGAAGTTTCGCTTATCCCGGAATTCCCAACTACCGAGCCCAATTCCCATTGCGTTTGCTAAGGCGCACGTAAATTCCCATGTATTTCTCGACTTTGCAAAAAGAAAAACAGAACTCAGTAGTCGAAAAAGCTCTAAAACAAAAGAAAAATAGGGCACCCGAAAGCAAGAACTCCAAACGGGTTTTTTCTGGGGTAGGTATGATACAAGCAAAAGAAAGGGTACGAAAGATGGCACGGGGTCGGGAAGTGGTTCGTCACATATGTGACGTGCACGGTGTTCCAAAATTATGCGATCTCCTGATTGCATGGAATGGCGAAAGAAAGAGGGGAGAACAGAGTGATGCATGAGGAACCAAGCGAAGTGCAAGGAACGATAACTGGGTCGCGGATGAGATGGCGACAACATCCGTGGCAAGATCTCCGCAGCCCTGTCATATGCAACCCTCTGCCTCGTGGAGATCGTCCAGGTGACGCCATCATGGT